ACATACGTAAATCATTTTTTCAACTAGTGTTTTGCTTTTTTAATAATCAAACAATTTTTTTAAATTAAAATTAAAATGTCAAGTAAAAACAATATTCCGTTAAATTAATTTTTTGAATGCTATAATAATGTATTAAAAAAACTTTCTATTTAATTTGAATATATTATACCAAATTATGAATAAAAATAAAAATTCAATTTTTTTCTTGACACCCGGTATGTGATATCGGCCTAATTGCAAAGTCAACTGGCCGTACACAACTCTATTAGAGTTATTTAAAATAAAGGTTAAAAAAAAATAATGAGTGATTTTTCGATAAGTACAAGGAATTTCGAGATTGCATTAAAAGAAGAATGATTAACAAAGCTTGATATACGGTAGGAATTTTTCAAAAAATCATTATAGTGAATCAAAGCTGCTATATCGAATGCGAAACGGATCAATTAAATATTTTTTTAAAAAGAAAGAAAGAAATTTTTTTTAGATTAACTGATAACCTGAAAGGTGTACTGCGCATATGATCTTTTGATAAGTCAATGGGGAAACAGAAAAATCAAGGTTTTAATTGTTTTAATTACATTAACGTGAGAAATTTTTCATGGGAAACTTTTTTATCGTATGCATTATAATTTACGTATATTTCGAAAAATCGTTATTTATAATACCAAAAGATCGATGGTTACATACAGTATTTAAATAACTCGCCATCAAGAGAAAACAAAATATTTAATTAAAATATTTAGTTAATATTGGAATATAGGTATCATACAGCATAGTCATATTGTGAGTTGGTTACAAGAGAATATTGTAAAATGACAAATTATCGAAATCTTTAGTAAACGAGAATTCGGCACCTCCACGGTTTTGGAGTTATTCTTTTCAAAAAATGGGAATATATTTTGCTTAAAGACTTGAGAAGATATGTTCATCTTAGGGAAAAGTGTGTCATTTCGACAGCGCATCCTATGCTTCTCGTAGATTCCTTAAGACCATCGTGAGTGTCGCACGAGAGAATTACGATTTTACAATGTGTCTTATTATGGATTTTTTTTTTTTAGGAGAAAAACAATTTGTAAACAATTGTAATCACTGGAGTCCTAAAGAGGTACTGAAAACCTTAACAAAAGTCTTTTTAAGGTTTATTGATGGCCATTATACCCAATTTTGTCGCAGAAATAACATCGGTGGGTTAGCCACAATCAGGATTAAACCAAATGCGTAACTATTGTATTCTGAGTAACGCGGATAAAGATGAAAGAGCCGGAAACGAATTAGGAAAAAAAAAACCCCTCCGTCTTTCCAGATTCCATTGATCACATTAACAATGAGACTGTGGAAGGCCGTTCATTATTAAAATAGAGAATAGTCAATGAAACAAAAAAACTTGATGCATTTGATCGACTGCGAAAACGTACGAATCAACAAGGATTGTGGCAAATGAAAAAAATTTTTTTTCACCACAAAAAAAGAAATTTTTTTCATGGGAACCGATAAGAGCGCGTCCCCAACATGCAAGAGGTCAGCTGGTCAGTGGATTTGTTTAATTAAGAATTAGAAAAAGTCATGAAACCAATAGATACAGTGCAACGGAAATAGAATAAAAAAAAAACAAAAGTGCATTATGAAACCGCGGCTGGAGGTATACGCGATACACAAATGTGCTTATTAACATTTGTGGAAACTGCTTTGGTTAGCTGTTCAATTGTCATTATCGATTGAGGTACTTTTATGTACGATTTATGTGCTATCCACAGGTCTGGGGTTTTCTTTGTTCTGTAAGAATTTAATTTATCATTGACTAACCTTGAGTCAAAGATCTTTGTTATCAGCAGCAGAAAAGGAAACATTCCTACTCAGTAGACGACGCCAATGAATAATCAAATATACGGCGCGTTCATCTCTTTCTTTCGGCAATTACCGTCTGTTATTGCATTGAGTGAACAAAATTTTTTACGTTTCACAGTTAACCCTGGAAAAAATCGATTAATCCTGGTAAGAACAAGATTCTCTCAGGTACGAACGGAAATTGTTCATTTACATTATCTCAGGCGTCTTTGACTATAAGTCTTAATTAATATGCATGACACACATCAAGTATAACCTTTAAGGTAAGTAATATGTATAATTGTAGAAACGTCTCATTTTATCGTTATTACAAAACAGTACAAATTACGCGTTGTCTTTTTTCTTCTAACTAATCACCCAAAGGCAGGTGAAATGCATAGCTGTAGAACCGACACTCTTTTATGATGACCACAAATTGCGCGACCTTTTTCAACGATTATGTATTGCATCACATTTTCTTTCTGTGTGAAGCAAAGTATGAATAATAAATCATGCACGTGACATAACAGTTGCATAACTTGATGCGTTTCTAAAAATACTAGTCGAAGTTACTTCTACCTATCCCGTTCAGTTATTTAACAGGGGGATCACTGTATACAATATTTTCTATGGAGAAGGTTCCTAAATTTTGGTTTTTAAAAAAAATATCATTATCTCGGGGTGTAGGGCGCAGTATAATTTCATGCAACATATTTACCCATGCGCTCGAGTGTCGGCAAATTTGGTTAAACCTTACCGGTGATTTGGTAGCGGTTGCTGGATCACTGATTAGGAAATTCCTGCACATGATATATATAATAGCAAGTTCATTGCATTGTTGATTGGTTGTCCAATTCGTTTAAGATGTTCCGTCGCGAAATTTAAATTATCGAGATGCTGCAAAATCTCCGCCGACGAATGAGTGGTTGGCGATTTCACGCATGAAACTGAAAATCATGACTTTACAATCCTTAAAATATTCTCAAGGCATTCTATACGTTATGTCCCAAATTCACGACGTATAGTGAGATTCTACCTAAATAAAAAATTCGGAAAAATGTTCGCGATCGGTTTGCACAGATTATTTCCTTATTAAATTCTCCGCGATAGAAGGAAAACTACCCCGCAATCTGACGTCACTTTAATATCTAAAGATCTCAAAAAAAAAAAAAAAGGCAGTAAATCTGATCACAATGTACGAAAGATTTTTTTATTTACCAGTGTTCGACTTGTTTTCTCTGCACCCCCTCCACAGAAAGAATGGACATGTCATCTCAGTATAGTTTCATTACCAACTTACCAGGTAACAACCAATTATTTGTATTACAATCTCCAAAATCTCCTTGATATAAAAAGCATTAGGAAAATTTCATAATAAATTAGTCTACATTATATATTTTTGCGTCATTTATTTATTACACAAAATAATATCACAATGTTCCGTTACTCGGTTTCCAATTAATTTCCCGCAACAAACAACAACAAACAAGTTAATTTCCCGTCAGGCATTGCTTTATCGAGGAAAATACTGTACGAGTATGTGAGTTTTGATCAAAGAGAACAATATCCTTCTCAGTTCCCGCCTGTGAAGGACCTCTTGTTTCAGACACGCATCTATTAATTCTGCTTTGACGTATATACGAAGTACAACACACCCCGCACGCACATCATTGTTCGCGCAAATCAAGTTAACGGACGCAACAATGATTTCCGCAAATCTTATTGTCTGATGTGAGGAGATCAATAATTTCCTTTATAATAAAAAAGTATTAGTACAATGAACTGACCAATGAGGAATGACAATAGGACGCGTATGGTTCGGAGATTTTGCGCAAAATTGGTCCATTGTTCCAAATAAAGTACATGAGTTTGCATTTGAGTACGTAATGACACACATGGAATAAACCATCCAACCAACCTCAGATGTCGGACCCACTCTAAATGGACGCCAAGACGCGTGAGAATGCTCACGTCTTGACTATACGTATCTTCATTTTGAACTCCGTGAAGAAGACGGTTTGGAAGTCGCAAATATTTAAAAGTTAAAAATATTAAAAAACTTGCATATTTAAATTTCACGACAAACATCAACAGAAAAATTGAATATTCGGACTTTTTTTTTTTTTTAAGAAAAAAAATTTTCATTTATTTATTGATTCTTTTTTTTTTTTTTTTAGAAACACGGAATTCGGGGACGCGAAAAAAAAACCCAAATTTGTACACAGTTTACTGTATGGTACAAAAATGTATAACATGGAAACAAAAGAGAAAAAGAGAAAGAAAAAGGAATACCAAATATATATTTATATATATCAATGTCCAAGGATATTTCTTTTTATTACCTAAGACCTAATATAACGAAGAAAGAGTACAGGAAATAATATAAAAATAGCGAAAGGGAATTTTATGCAGGATGTACTGCATCTACTTGGGCTAGATTCTTCCCTTAACGCATTTTGATAAAAAAAAACCCCTTGCTCCTTTCGTCCCCGAAGTAAGTGAAAAAAAAAAAAAAAAAGAATAAAAGCTTAATGTTGTCATATAGACCGGTATATAGGCTTAGAGTGATTGGTGGACGGGTTGAATGAAAAAAAAAAAAGAATATTCTGCAGTAATATTCGATTCTTCCTAAAAGACAAGAGAAACGGTCTCGGTAACCCATCACCGCTTAGAATGATTTTTCATAGAAAATTTCATAATTGTGCATGCAACAAAGAAAAAAAAAAGAAAAATTTTCACGCGGAATTATGGTGCGTGATTGAAATCGATTAAAGGATCATTTTGTCGGAAGGAAAACCAACACGCAAATTAGGGAGCGTGTCTATCAAAATTCAAAAAATCTTAGAGGGTTGTGGTGGGATTCATTATTGAAGCATAGAAAGCGCGCTAAATAAAAGAAAAAACAAAAAGGGGGGTGTTTACTAAAGAGCGTCGAGGGATTAAAAGAAAGAAAAGAGAAAAAAATTTTACAAGGTTCAAGAAGAAAATATAATACAAAAAACTATTGTTCGTTAATATATATGGTTTTTCTTTTTGTGTTGTCTTTTTTGGACAACAGACTGTTCAATTTTTGGAGGTTTTTTTTTTTTTTAATGTACACAAGGTATCAAAGGTGAAAAGGGAAGGTTATTCGGAAAGTGAGGGTTGGTTGGTTGGTTGATGTGTTGTTGATAGATCTAGTACCCTAATGCATCCTCCAAACTCAAACTTCTCCAATTGCCTGCATTGGATGAATTGTTGTTATTCGAATTTCCGACCTCGAACCCACAGCCAAGCCCGAGTGCTGTCTCTCCAGAGTATGACGTTAATCCGTGTTGAGTCTCTCCAGAGTACGTGAATCCACCAAAGGCATCATTAATGTCACTGGCGTTTGTACCATTGCGACTCATGTTTTTAGAAACGGCGGGCCAGTCAATGCTGGTCTCCTCTTCGGTGAATGCTGGATCGAAGCATGATGTATCATCCTCTGAAGAAACGTTGGGCTTGAATGGAGGTGACACTTGTTTATGGTACAACGCGTTCCAATCGACGTTGGCAAAGAATGGATGATTCTTGATCTCCTCCGCATCATTGCGAGAGCCTAATCTGTGGTGTGGATTTCGTGCCAAGAGCTATTATTGAGGCGCATGAGGAATTCAGTTAGCACAAGGGATCAATCAATGTATGATAAAATATTGTTAGAACACGATCACCTACCCCCTTGATCAAGCTTTTGGCTTCATCGCTGAAGAAACCTTTGGGGAATTTGAGTTTTCCAAACAAAATCCTACGATACATGAGTTGTGTGTCGTTGGTGTAAAATGGACTGAAGCCAGCGATCATCTCGTAGAAAAGTATTCCCAAACTCCACCAGTCGACCGATTTACCGTAACCGCATTCAGCCAAGACTTCGGGTGCGAGATATTCGGAAGTACCGCAGAAAGTGTTTGTGGTTTGTCCGGTGGCAAGATTTTCTTTGCATAAGCCAAAGTCGCAGAGGGCGATGTGTCCAGTCGCATCAAGCAAGATGTTTTCAGGTTTGAGGTCCCTAGATGATTTTTGACAAAGCATGAGTGAAACGAACTTCCAACGCAGCATCCCACGCACGAGAAAAATTGATTTTGGAAAACGAGAGGGTTACCTGTAAACGATGTTGTACTTGTGAAGATGTTCCAAGGCGAGAACGATCTCGGCAGCGTAGAATTTTGCCCTCTTTTCGCTGAGCCTTACTTCGTTTTGCAAGTGCCAAAATAGTTCACCACCGTTCATGAAGTCGGTGACCAGGTAAAGGTGGGTTTTGGTTTGGAAAGAGAACTTGAGGCCAACCAAGAATGGGCACTCTTCGGCTCGGATGAGGATGTTTTTTTCGGCCAGTGTGTGTTCAACTTCACGACGATCGATCAAATCTTGCTTGTGGAGGACCTTCATGGCGTAGATACGATTTGTGTCTTTCTTGCGAACTTGGAAAACTTTGCCAAAGTTACCTTTTCCGATTAATTTGAGGATCTCGAACGAAGCGGGTTTGAGATGGGATTTCTCGACTTCGACTTTTTCGTAAGCGATTTGCACGCGGACTTCACCAGTGACAGTCTCTTTGCTTCTTGGCAACAGTCTAGTGAGAGCAGATAAAAAAAAGAAAGTTAGAATGCGTGACCACGAATTATAGGTACGAGGACAGGTGGGTTCTAAAAATTTTTCGCTTACTTGAACCAAGCGTCGACAACCTGATTGGGTTTCCTCGGAGGTTGAATCTTTAACATGCCGAGAAAGGTTTCGTTTGTGTTGTGCACACGTTCATACACGGACACATGAACTTCGCCATCTAGACGTGCAACGTCGCTGTGAGGCGTAACAAAAAGGAAAGAGGAAAGTTAGGAGACGCAGTTCATCATCATCGTCATCAAACAAACGAGCTTCACATCGCGCAATGAACACCTACAAGACAACTTTGTGCTTCCAGACAGGGTTGGTGGCAATCCGAACAAGTTCCATGAAATCCATTTGCTTCCCACCTCGTGACATCGGAAGGTCACTCTCCCTCTTTGCTTCGCGGGTAACGATTTGATTCCTTTCAAATTCTACCACACAATAAGGCCTCGACTGAAAGTTGCTAACGTTAAGCTTGCGTCCTTCTACGATGGTCACCGAGAGTCGACCAGTGAGTTTCGTTTGGCTGACGTTGTCAAAAGCATTGGCTCGATCAGAATTGGGGGATCCGGACCTTGGTGATTCTTGATCGAATTCTCGGAAGTCCTGATGTTGCTTTTGGGCACCAAACATTGATGACGGTTGAGGGTGAAACTCGGGTGAGGAGGGCGGTGTCATGTACTTTCTAATCATCTTAAGATATTCCGTCATGATTGAAGTTTATCTATCTATTACTAATTTTTTTTTTTTTTGTTCTAGTCTCGGTCGTCGTTAAATCTCTATGTATATCTTGACGTGTTCGTTAAAAAATATATATATCGTGAAGGGAAACGCGATAACAACAATTTACAATTGTGTGTATACTGTATTTTATCAGTTTTTAAAGAAGAAGAAAAGTTTTGAAGGTGGAATGAATCCTTGTAGGAGTGAATTGACAAGGTATTGCGAGGGCGACCTATTTATTGATTTTTTTCTGTACTTCCAACGAATAGGAAGGCGTTTATCTAATATTTATGTTTGTTGAATTTGTTTGCAAGAACCTTTTTCGATATTCTATTATTTAGGAAAGATGTATAATTAAAACTACTCGGTATAAAAAAAAAAAAAATTATAGCTCCTTAATAAAGCTTTAGGAATTATTTTATTTTATTTTTTTTCTTCCGATGTGGAGGAGTGGGGTAAATTATGGATTATATTAGAGGTTGGGGATTTATATTAAAATTACATTGGATGGTGTTTATTGTAATACCTTCTTCTCTAGAGTAATTAAGAGAAAAATTTACATAAAAAATCCCCCAATTTATATATATTATAATAATAAGCAAGAAGCAAATCCTTAACCAGCCATTGCTAATTGCTCGACCCCACAGTATGTATTGTGCTACAAAAAAAAGGCGTTATTTAACCTTAATTTATTCAAAGAAAAAAATTTTTTTATATATCCAGTATTTTATTAACGCCAAAAAAAAAAAAAAAAAAAAAAAAAAAAAAAAATTTTTTTCCTATATCCAATAAAAAAAAGGCAAATAAATAAAAAAAAAAAAATTTTTTCTCGGATCGCTGATCGGTCGGGTCAAGTAAACAACAATTATTCAGTTGGGTTATTTTATTTTATTTATTATTATTTTTTTTTTTTATAAACACGCATTCTCAAGAAACAATAAGTTACATTGTTTTCTTATTTCTTATTTGTTAATAATGATAATGATTGTTTGATTTTCCTGCCCAACGTTAAAAATAAGTTAAACATAGGATAATCGAGATATTGAACTCGCACTACAGGCTAATCCTCCGAGATAAATGTTTTGGTCATGGCGAAAAAGTGGAATGGTCAAAGAAAAACAGTTGAAGCAAGGAATGGAAACATCCTGAAATCATTGGTGAGACGCGTAACGCTGATTTGTTTGTAAACAAAGTGCCCTTTGGTTTATTAAACAGACAGTAAATATCTTTAACAGATATAATGTGTACGTCGAAACCCATTGTTTAGAGAGAAAAAAAAATTATTTTTTTTTAAGAAAATATGTTTACACACAGTAGCGTATAATGTACATATTAACGTCTCAACTACGTATTAGTCGTATGTACACAGGCTTCACATTTACGGCTCGCCATAATTTGTTCTAACCGCAATTATCGAGATGCATGCAATGTCGGAGTCTCCAAATAGCATAATGAAGGTTTGCATAAAACCGAGAAAATAACGGTATGCTCATCGCGAACTGATAAGAGTTTTGCTTTACATTATGATCACGTATAATGGGTTATATACGTTCGACTCTACAATGACGCGAAGTAACACACCACTTTTACTCCAAAGGCTGACTCGGTGGCGACTTCCCATTTTGCTCTGTGCACATACATACTCTTTCCTCTCTGAACGACTTTTTTTTTTCTGCAGGACCGACCTGCATTACTGAATTCTTCGTGTGCAACTACGCTAATACAAATAAATTAAATAATATGACCATAAAAACGTAAGAATGAGATAATCTATGTATGCGAAACAGATATACTATGTTGCATGTTGCATTAAGATGTATACAGAAGATCAATTACTTTTGGATCCGAACGTTTATAACGATGGATATATCTGGAGCATTGTCATTATCACTAATGTTCGGACAAAACAGAAAAGAAGCCCGACTAAACTGCCGTTGGGTCGTTTTTTGTTATCAGAATACATTTTTAACGGTTCATGCATGATCGTTGATAAATAATTACAAGTTTCGAAATTAGGAGTCTCCTCTTTTGGGAGACCCGACAGATTAAGCATTCCATTTACGCGAAAACGAATTAATCCAACAACCCCAAGGTATCTAATAAACATTCTTGTATTACGTTGCTTTAATTGGAGTTGTAAACAATTTGTCGATGAAGTATGAATGAATGAATGAATGAATGAATGAATGGTTTGAATGAAATCATTAAAAAAAAGAACAATGATGACGATAATAATTTGCGGTGGATCGTGAGAAGGGATTCACCGAAAAAAACGCATGTACTGTACATGAATTGATTACACCATCGACAATTTCCCTGGGGTAATTGCGAGTTCATTACACATGGATTGATTACACCATCGACAATTTCCCTGGGGTAAATTGCGAGTTCATTACAGATCGGGTAATGCGCTCAAGCTCTGTAAGTACGTAGTTGAGTAGATGATTAGGTATGGATCGATCACAGATCAACGCGAATTATCGTAATTAAAAAAAAAAAAAAAACTAAACACCGAGAACGTCTGGATATTTGCGTCGTTGGGGGCAAACAGAGACGTACAATGTGCGAACTTAAAAATATTTATCAGAGCATAGCATAACATATAATACCCGCAGTTGCCATTATGTAACAATGTACCTAAATGGATTGTTTCATCTGTCGATTGTTTGAGATGTTCCGGCGGTGGCGCATTTAATGGGAAAATATTTCTGAGGCAAAATTGCGAAGTTCATGTTGCATTGTATTTGAAACAATACATCACCCGATTATCATTTGATCACGTGACCCGAGACTGGTTGAATCGGGCACAGGCAATGATCGAGGTACGCACGCAATCGACATTAATATCGGAAATCTTTTTTCGACAAGTTATTTGTCAAGAATCCCAAACGATTCTTTTCTTCTTGGACGGTTGGGAAACCTTCGATTTCACATCATCATGAGCTTTCGCCAGCTGCCTACCATCGAATTTGCGATCAACATTAGCTGATAACAAATCCGTTCGGTGAAAAAAGGACATACCCTGCAAATTGTCGGTACGCACAATTGCCAAATTTGACTTGATCCTCCAAGATTGTTTCATTGATAAAGAGAAATTTCGATAGCATTTTTGGGTTATCGGTAACGGCGTAGATTATTGTGCATGTTGGCTGATGCATTAGACAAGAAAAAGAACTCGGTTAATCAATGCAATATACAGTATCACAATAAACAAATATCAAATCAGAAATCGCTTATGGCTACACTCGAAAAACGGTTGCGTCAAACAATCTAGAACATCAGGGAACAAAATGACTTCCAAACGTTGACGCTATACTAGATCTTGGAATCATCTCTTCTAAACATAACCAGGTTTGTCGAACCCGATACCCGGTAAAAGTTGTTAATTTTTGGGTGCGACAAAAACAAAGTTCTGCAAAGGGAAGGAGGGCTTGTTTGGTGACGAAAGTACACATACTTTCTCACCCAATTACTTATCGTGCATAGGTGCATATAATATAACTCAATATAAATCAAAGTGTAGCCAGTTCACCA